GATAGATAGATAGATGATAGATGATAGATAGATGATAGATAGATAGATAGATAGATAGATAGATAGATAGATGATAGATAGATAGATAGATAGATAGATAGATAGATAGATAGATAGATAGATAGATAGATAGATGATAGATAGATAGATAGATAGATAGATAGATAGATAGATAGATAGATAGATAGATAGATAGATAGATAGATAGATAGATAGATAGATAGATAGATAGATAGATGATAGATAGATGATAGATAGATAGATGATAGATAGATAGATAGATAGATAGATAGATAGATAGATAGATAGATAGATAGATAGATAGATAGATAGATGGATAGATAGATAGATAGATAGATAGATAGATAGATAGATAGATAGATAGATAGATAGATAGATAGATAGATAGATAGATAGATAGATAGATGATAGATAGATAGATGATAGATGATAGATAGATAGATAGATAGATAGATAGATAGATAGATAGATAGATAGATGATAGATAGATAGATAGATAGATAGATAGATAGATAGATAGATAGATAGATAGATAGATAGATAGATAGATAGATAGATAGATAGATAGATAGATAGATAGATAGATAGATAGATAGATAGATGATAGATAGATAGATAGATAGATAGATAGATAGATAGATAGATAGATAGATAGATAGATAGATAAGATAGATAGATAGATAGATAGATAGATAGATAGATAGATAGATAGATGATAGATAGATAGATAGATAGATAGATAGATAGATAGATAGATAGATAGATAGATAGATAGATAGATAGATAGATAGATAGATAGATAGATGATAGATAGATAGATAGATAGATAGATAGATAGATAGATAGATAGATAGATAGATAGATAGATAGATAGATAGATAGATAGATAGATAGATAGATAGATAGATGATAGATAGATAGATAGATAGATAGATAGATAGATAGATAGATAGATAGATAGATAGATAGATAGATAGATAGATAGATAGATAGATAGATAGATAGATAGATAGATAGATAGATAGATAGATAGATAGATAGATAGATAGATAGATAGATAGATAGATGATAGATAGATAGATAGATAGATGATAGATAGATAGATAGATAGATAGATAGATAGATAGATAGATAGATAGATAGATAGATGATAGATAGATAGATAGATAGATAGATAGATAGATAGATAGATAGATAGATAGATAGATGATAGATAGATAGATAGATAGATAGATAGATAGATAGATAGATAGATAGATAGATAGATAGATAGATAGATAGATAGATAGATAGATAGATAGATAGATAGATAGATAGATAGATAGATAGATAGATAGATAGATAGATAGATAGATGATAGATAGATAGATAGATAGATAGATAGATAGATAGATAGATAGATAGATAGATAGATAGATAGATGATAGATGATAGATAGATAGATAGATAGATAGATAGATAGATAGATAGATAGATAGATGATAGATAGATAGATAGATAGATAGATAGATAGATAGATAGATAGATAGATAGATAGATAGATAGATGATAGATAGATAGATAGATAGATAGATAGATAGATAGATAGATAGATAGATAGATGATAGATAGATGATAGATAGATAGATAGATAGATAGATAGATAGATAGATAGATAGATAGATAGATAGATAGATAGATAGATAGATAGATAGATAGATAGATAGATAGATAGATAGATAGATAGATAGATAGATAGATAGATAGATAGATAGATAGATAGATAGATAGATAGATAGATAGATGATAGATAGATAGATAGATAGATAGATAGATAGATAGATAGATAGATAGATAGATAGATAGATAGATAGATAGATAGATAGATAGATAGATAGATAGATAGATAGATAGATAGATAGATAGATAGATAGATAGATAGATAGATAGATAGATAGATAGATAGATAGATAGATAGATAGATAGATAGATAGATAGATAGATAGATAGATAGATAGATAGATAGATGATAGATAGATAGATAGATAGATATAGATAGATAGATAGATAGATAGATAGATAGATAGATAGATAGATAGATATAGATAGATAGATAGATAGATAGATAGATAGATAGATAGATAGATAGATAGATAGATAGATAGATAGATAGATAGATAGATAGATAGATAGATAGATAGATAGATAGATAGATAGATAGATAGATAGATAGATAGATAGATAGATAGATAGATAGATAGATAGATAGATATAGATAGATAGATAGATAGATAGATAGATAGATAGATAGATAGATAGATAGATAGATAGATAGATAGATAGATAGATAGATAGATAGATAGATATAGATAGATAGATAGATAGATATAGATAGATAGATAGATAGATAGATAGATAGATAGATAGATAGATAGATAGATAGATAGATAGATAGATAGATATAGATAGATAGATAGATGATAGATAGATAGATAGATAGATAGATAGATAGATAGATAGATAGATAGATAGATAGATAGATAGATAGATAGATAGATAGATAGATAGATAGATAGATAGATAGATAGATAGATAGATGATAGATAGATAGATATAGATAGATAGATATAGATAGATAGATAGATAGATAGATAGATAGATAGATAGATAGATAGATAGATAGATATAGATAGATAGATAGATAGATAGATAGATGATAGATAGATAGATAGATAGATAGATAGATAGATAGATAGATAGATAGATAGATAGATAGATAGATAGATAGATAGATAGATAGATAGATAGATAGATAGATAGATAGATAGATAGATAGATAGATAGATAGATAGATAGATAGATAGATAGATAGATAGATAGATAGATAGATAGATAGATAGATAGATAGATAGATAGATGATAGATAGATAGATAGATAGATAGATAGATAGATAGATAGATAGATAGATAGATAGATAGATAGATAGATAGATAGATAGATAGATAGATAGATAGATAGATAGATAGATAGATAGATAGATAGATAGATAGATAGATGATAGATAGATAGATAGATAGATAGATAGATAGATAGATAGATAGATAGATAGATAGATAGATAGATAGATGATAGATAGATAGATAGATAGATAGATAGATAGATAGATAGATAGATAGATAGATAGATAGATAGATGATAGATAGATAGATAGATAGATAGATAGATAGATAGATAGATAGATAGATAGATAGATAGATAGATAGATGATAGATAGATAGATAGATAGATAGATAGATAGATAGATAGATAGATAGATAGATAGATAGATAGATAGATAGATAGATAGATAGATAGATAGATAGATGATAGATAGATAGATAGATAGATAGATAGATAGATAGATAGATAGATAGATGATAGATAGATAGATAGATAGATAGATAGATAGATAGATAGATAGATAGATGATAGATGATAGATAGATAGATAGATAGATAGATAGATAGATAGATAGATAGATAGATAGATAGATAGATAGATAGATAGATAGATAGATAGATAGATAGATAGATAGATAGATAGATAGATAGATAGATAGATAGATAGATAGATAGATAGATAGATAGATAGATAGATATGTATAAGGATCACAGCTGATTCAACTATGGAGGGTTTCACCCAATCATAAAACATTACTTTTGTTTCTTAAATTAATTATATATAATTTTGCATCACACATTATTATGTTATTACGTCATTATTATGATTACTATGTTTAGCAGTATCTTTACAAAAATGCATGAAAAATCTGTCCAAAAGCTTACAATGATGGTCTTCAGTAAATCCTCTGATCTGATTTTACTTCATTGCTGTTATGCTTTTGGGTTACTTTGACCTGCTTTGGGACTTGAAGTTTCTGTCGTTTGAACATGAAACACAAGGATCCTGCATGTGCACCAGTTTTCAGCTCTTTATCATCAAAAATTCAGCATACCTCGGTCATTATTTGGCACAAACAAAACACGTCAACAAAGAAGCAAGCCCATTAGACCCAGTGAAACTGATTGTATCAGTGAGCTGCAGCAAACTGAGTCCTATCAGCAGCAAACGATAAGGCACGAACACCATCCCACCCCCTCGCAAAAGAAAAGAGAAAAATGATCTACATGGTGCCAAATCATAACCTGAAGTGTGAGTTCATCAAAGTGCTACATGCAAAAGCCTCTCACAAAACGGTCGCACAGAAAGGAAACCGTAATGGAGATCTTTGTAAACAACTCTCTTGAATGCTTATTGCTCCTTAGCCTTTAGCTCTAGGTGACGTAACCGCTGCTTTCTTATCAGTCGGAGCTGCGAGAGAGGAAGAGGAGGAGGAGGAGACCTCACGGTGAAGAGGATCTCACACTCATCTTGTGTTTAACATGATAACCTCTCTGCTGCTAAACTGCAGCTTATCACCTTGCTGGTGTTTCCTCCACTCCATCTTCTTCTCCCCCACCTCTCTCGCTCTCTGCTTTGTTTACTCTCTTCTACTTCTGCCTGTCATCTTTCCTATCTACTTCTCCCACAGTTTCTCTGGGGATGAAAATAGGAGGGGGACAGTCAATTAATAGAAGTTGCCATGGCAACTGTAAGCTGAGCCAAACCATGTAGATCTCATTCTTTTCTCTTTCTGTTTTTCTGTCATGGGGTTCTGATGTGGTAGACAAGGATAGAATGCACACATTTATACTGCATTGTCTGTAGGTTCAGTATAGGATGCAACTGTGTGCTTTTAATAAGGATATCAGTGTGGTACAACTGGAATCAACATATTACACTTTTGAAATAATCCACCTGCCTCCAGGCCTAACTGGTGCGCTGTGAGCCACAAACCAGTGACTCTGGCTGCAAACGCAGAACTTTCCGATGAAACACAATTGTTCTAAATGCAATTATGTTTCCGCTGTGACATGTGATGTGTGCAAGTGTGCTGGTGGATGGCAAAGTGACAAAGTACCAGAGAAAGAGAGCGTCTCTCCAGGCTGCTCTTTCTAGACTCGTTGGTGATGCTTCGCTTTTCCGAGGAGTACGATCCCCTGGGCCCGGAGAGGGCCCCGAGCTCCAGGTGGCCATTCGGTGTTAGAGTACAGATCCGTGGGTCTGAGGCAATAAAACATAATAGACTCAAAACAATTTCAGATCTCATCGACAGTCGAATAAATACAAGGGATTCATCTCAAACATGGAGGTTAAACCTTCAGTTAATTAAAGGGACTTTATGGAGTTTGGAATTTTTATGCTCGCGATCGCCCCCCTCAGGCCAAAAGCGTAACGGCAGCTTCAACAGTAGGCTCGTGCACGAGGCGCGCATGCTGTACGTGCACACTCCTTAACGAAAATAACAGCTGAGACAGTCCCATGTGTGTGTGTGTGTGAGTGTGAGTGTGTGTGAGTGTGTGTGTGAGTGTGTGTGTGTGTGTGTGTGTGTGTGTGTGTGGCCCAGAGGACAGAAGACAGGAGAACGCGCAGCTAATTAATTGAATAATTTGGTTCTGGTTTGGTTTATGATGGGTCAGTCCTCCTGCATGCTCAGATCATTCCCTTCCCTTGCTTGAAAAATTGTTCCAAAATGAAAGTTGAACCCACATCTTTTTTATCTGTGAATTCAATGCCGTTCGGCGAGTCTCAAACAAAAATTTGGGCATCTTACTGTAAAAAAATATACCTTTAATGTAAAAAAGAAACTAAATAAACTATGTTCACACCCAGAATCGAACCCGGGTCTCCAGCATGAGAATCCGACGTATAACCGGGTGAGCTAAAACACCAATGATGATTTTGGTATCTGTAATATTTATATCCTTCATTACAGCTGAAACAACGTTCAAAGAACGGTTCGGAGTGAAAATAGCTATTTTGTTGGAAATATCTAGAAGAAATTAGCTAAGGGTCCTCAGAAATGTAGCTAGCTTTGTCACTAGCCGTTAGGAACAGCGACAAAGTCACTGAGTTGGCACTGCTGCTAAAGCTACGGATAGCAAATGCTACGGGCGATGCCTGAGCGTGAACGCGCATGAAGCAGCCTGCTCGACCCGAGCATCTCTCTTTTTCTGTGATTTTACAGAAAAACAGGCAATCACAGTAAAATGCCAGGGCTCATTCTACAGGACCAGGGCATTGCAGGAGAATGTATGAAGAAGACATTTATTATTTCTATACATGTTTTGGCTGTCAAACTTCCATAACGCCCCTTTAAACTACAGATTATTTTCATTTTATAAAGCAGTTTGCAGAACAGCTAACATTTTACACCACTTTATTAGACATTAATTGAAATAAAAAAAACAGAATAGAACGTATTTTTCTTGTCTAAAAAAATCAGAGTAAAGGTTAAACAAGCAGAAATGATTTCATCAAAGGTTTATAGGATATCAACCTTCTTGGTTCAAAATGTCTGATTTCTGTTCTCTCTCTCTCTCTCTCTCTCTCTCTCTCTCTCTCTCTCTCATATATATATATATATATATATATATATATATATATATATATATATAGTCCTATTTGAGTCAATTGAACTATAAATTAATCTGTCCAAAACATATGTTCATTTAAAGGTGTGGAACTCTAAAAAACATTTTTTAATTATTATTTCTGATTATAATTCATCACTGTGAGTTTTCCTGCAGGCTGAACATGAAAATACTCTCCTACACTTATCCCCTGCATTAGCATCTGATATAAAAATAGATGGTGGCTATCTAGGATGGGGTGAGCTATCCTGGTCCTCCAGGGCAGCTATCCAGTTACTTGTTTACCTGCTTTAACACACCTGATTCTTAGATGAATCACATGTTCAGCAGCTCATCGGGCTCTGTGGCAGCCTGTAAATCACCAGCAGATTCAAACCAGTTGTGTTTAAGCAGAGAAATGACTAAAACCTGCTGGATAGTGGCCCTTGAGGACCAGGAGTGCCCACCCCTGATCTAGGATTTGAAATGCTTGACAGATCTACCTCACAATGTCACTGAACATCTTGACTCACAACAGGGAAACAGCAGAGCACATCTTAGTAAAAGCTAACCATTAACATTAGCAACTCCACCACACGGCAGAAACTCCTCCAGACTTGTGTTATTTGTGGAGATAAAACATTAATGTTGCAGAGCAAACAGAGCCAGTGATAGAGTCACATTTCTATTGGCCAATCAGAGGTGAGATGTCCAAATATCAGGAAATGAGACTCCGAATCCTGTTCCGGTTCTCCTCTGATCTGGCAATCTTCTAGTTTCTGAAACAGGTGCACCAAGGCTTTTCGTACCCAGAATACATTTCACAAAGCTTTCATTCCTACTAGAGGCCAATGCAAACGTAGTGATTAAACAAGTGAACCACACTTTTAAAGGTTTGATCCATTCTGACAGTTGAACCAATTTTAAATGCTTTAATCTTCAAGTTAACTGTACGTTTCAGCTGCAGTGTTATACTCAGAGCTTATATTTAGTTAAATTTCAGATTTTTGCATTTCTATTGAAATCTAAAGGGTGATATTTTTGCTCTTTGGAAAAATTGACCCCATGAAAACACATCAGGTGCCATTCAGAGCTCAAAAAAATGAGAACATAAATCCTATTTTAAAAGTAAGCAATTAGGTTTAATATAATAAATCCTAAGATGTTTATCTTTACTTGGATATTTTTGTAAGAAACTCACTTTTAGAAATGCTTAGAAAACAGTAACAATCTGAGTTTGCAGAAGATTCTTCACCATTACAAATTCAAACCAGATGAATCAACATAAACTAACACCTAAATAAAACATGAAAGAGAGGGTAGTATTCACCCGACAGCTTTATGGAATCGGGTTTCTCGCTCTCGTCAAAGTTTGAAGACGAGTGGTCGTCATCAGAATAAGAGCGGTTGGCATCACCCTGGGAGAGAAAACAGAACAGAAGAAAATGGGATGTTTCATCAGGCTCACAAACACCCCGGGCCTTCCTTGTGAAGAGAACCTTGTTTTTGTCAAAATGTGGAGAAAGAAAATCAAAACACAGAGGTAAATGCGAGTCCACTCACACAACCAACTTGATGCTCTTTCATGAGATTAAATCTGTAAACGCTTGAAAGTACAGACACACTACTCCAGAGGCCCCCGCAGCTTTGGTTAAGGCCAACAGGATTCCCCACAGCCCCGACGGCAGTAAATTGGCTCAATAGTCCCTCGTGTGAAGCAGAAGCAGACACAGAGTAGATGAGCAGAAGAAGGTGAGAGGGCCAGAGGGGGAACGACTGACAGCGGAAACAAGCAGAGAATGAAAAGCAGAGTCAGTTTGAAAGACCGATGGCAGTGGATTGTGTTGCTATCTCACAGAGATCAATCAAAAGCTCTGTGATGTGTGTCACTGTTTCCTCTACAGTTCACAGATCATTGCTGCGTGCTGCAAATATGCTGATGCTTTGATCAATGTGTGAAAAGTCAACTCTGCTTTTCAACCGCGCTGCAGTTTCCCAGTGAGTGTGACAGCTGAGTGTCAGCATCATTTAACACGGGTTTCTGCTCAGGTTCAGAGGCAGCGCATTTAAAACACCACATCATTGTTGAGACATTAGCTCTTGTGTTTCATCAAAGGTGTATGTGTTGCTGAGAGTGTTCCAGTGTTATCTACGTGGTCATGATGATCAGACTTTGATGATCCTAGAAGATAATGTCGTGAGGATTTGGACCGATGGTGATTTAACTGTTTGTTGAGTGAACTCAGGACTCGTTGGATTCAATGCTGGTACAAAAGCTGGTTATGTCATGGAATAATAAAAATTACAGTAGTAAACTATTACTGTGAAAATGGTAAAGCAGTCAGCAGATACAGTTCAATATAAGCATTTAGAGCAAAGTCAAGTGGAGGATTTCTGCCATCTCAAAGCCATACAATGCAAATATTTCATATTTTAAATCATTTTATTGTGCCAGTACGTGATCAAATGACCCTTTACAGGGTTAATGAAATGTCACGCAGACCCTCAGCGCCCTCTGTGGCTAGAATACCACACTTGCAGCTTCAGAGTGGTGGGATGCCATCTGTTGGACTTGGAAAAAATGAAGCTGCGACGCCTGACATTGCAGTCTGCTTCCAACCCGTTTTCTGCATGTTTTACCACTGATTTGTTTGATTTAGTTTTAATCACTCTTGTAGAAACTAATGAAGGCTGAGGAGAATATTCAGCTGTTAGATCGAGGTGTTAAAAAAGATGAAAGCACAGCGAGAAGTATCACTTTCTGTTCTACTAAACGGACACCAGGGGGTGCTAAAAGCAAGCCAAACTTCCATGTGTGCCTTTAAAGTAATAAAAAACCTCATTGCAGTTCCTGCATATAAATACGTAATTGTGAATTATGCATGTGAACTTTGAATCCATACATTCACCTTATCATTTGTAACTGCTCAAACCACTGTTGTAGGGAGCTGGTGCAGATTACAATAAGGCTGCCAGCTCACGACGATCCCAACGGCTATGTCAGTAGAAATACTATGAAACTGCATTCTGAGTGTTCAGTGCTGTGAAACGATATCTCACCTCTGCCTGAAATCCTTCAACCAAGATGGCCACCAGCAAGTTGAAGAGAACATAATTTCCAAAAGTCATGAGTGCCACAAAGTAAAGAGCAGCAAGTGGCGAGGTGGCTGCCATGCCGTTGTACAAAACTGCATTCCAGTCCTCCTGGGTCAGAATCTTGGAGAATATTACAGTTAGACACACATGAAGGTAATGCTAAGCTCACATTAAGCTTTAGTTTATTATTGATTGCAAAACTCAAACAGCAATACTGCACGGTTAACAGTAAACCATCAGGAATGCACTATCCTGCTTCACTGGGAATGAAGCGTGCATGATGCATTTTAAAAGTATCAGCAACTTATTTAGTAAAGACACACATCAGTACTTATCAATGCCAAAGACACATCTGTGGGTCACCTCAAACAGGACATGAACAGAGTGACCAGTAGACTACCTGGAAAACGGTGACGATAGCCCAAAGCAGTGAGTCAAAATTCTTCCTGTCGGGCACGGTGTCCCCAGTGTCTGTCTTCAGACTGAACTTACAGCCAAAGATGTGCATTCCGAGGATACTGCAACACAGCACACCAGACAAACTGGTCTAATAAGATGGTACTATGTTGGTGTTTGCTGCATTTTGAAGCGTTGCTTTTTCTTTCAGTTATAGAAAAGAGTCAAATATTGAAGAGTATGTTATGTCTAAATGATTATAATCTGATGCTCTGGGTTATCACTTTATTTAGGACCCGTATAGCCTATTGGCCATATTTAGGTGGCTCATTCGTTTGGATCACAAGGAGTGATTTATAACTCCAGATTGGATCTATTATCATACAATTAATGCTTTTTATCAATCAATCTGTCCTTGTATTTAATCAACTTATTACTGGTAAATGTAAAATATGCATTTCATATCAGCAATATCACTGAAATAAAGACTTTTAAACATATTTCTGGATACAACTCATTACTGTTCTGGTCTGATAAATGAAATGGAATCAGATAGCTTTACATTGTGTGAACTTTCATTTTGATAAATTCAGAAACACTAGAAAATACATACAAGAACATTTGGAATACTTGCCAAAACTAGAAGTAATTATAAAGATAGGTATGAAAACATATTTACATGCAACACTCTGCATGTTGTACACAAACATTGACATTTTAAGAATAGTATTATATAAGAAAACAGCTTATAAAACAGAATTAAACGACCTGGTGAGGCTGAGAATGTGGTAGAAAACCTTTTTTCTTTTAATCCACTAAAAATGTGTTGCTACTTTTGAAATATTTCTGTTAGAAATGGAAGCTTACAGTGTTTTTTTTTTCAGCTTATGCTTGTTGCTCTGATGTGCTCAGGAACTAAAAGTGAGCCAGATCAGAGATGAGCTGAACAAAGTTGGATTTGCACTCTTCTTTCTTGATATTTGAACACTTGTTTTAAAATGTTGCTGTTTTATCTCCACAAAAGCAGTGGTCTCTGGTAAAATGAATGCCTTGTGACTAGAGCTCTGTGATAAAAAAGCTCTTGTGATCCAGTTTCAGGAAATAGAAGTTAGCCAGAAGTTTAGGGAGCAGAAAACTGCAGGATTCTTTTTTCATGATGTCTCCTCTGACTGGAAACCCAGTTTTACTACTGACTCTGTTTGATCCACATCATTGATGTTTTATCTCAACAAATAGCACAAGCCTGGAGGAGTTCTGCTGTGTGGTGGAGTTGCTAATGCTAACAGTTAGCTTCTATTAGCTGAGACATTCTCTGCTGTGTACTGGATGCTGAAAGAACAACAGACTTCCCTGTTTAGAGCCAAGATGAGTGAGTCCTTGAATGTTAAGTGACAGTGTGACGTAGATCTGCCAGGCTTTATAAATCCTAGAGTTTCTCCATCTATTTTCTATCAGAAGCTAATGCAGGAGATAAGTGTAGGAGACTATTTTTGTGTTCAGCCTGCATGGAAAACTCGGAGTGACTGGTTATAATCACACATAATAATAAACTTGTTTTTTCAGTGAATTACCACTTTAAATGTGCAGAATATTCATGCATCACGAGTCAAACAAAAATAAAACATGCAAAATAATGAACTTACCTAAAGATGAAAATGAAGAGCATGAGTAACATGCAGAAAGTGGCCACGTTGTCCATAGTCTTCATCAGGACTACCAGTTGTCTCCTGAGAGCTGGCATGAACCGGACCAGCTTCAGCACTCTCAGCAACCTGAATGTCCTCAGCACAGACAAACCACCGTCTGACTGACCAACAATCTCGCAAACGCTGCAACAAGTTACAAAAAACAAAAACCAACAAACAGATGAAAAACTCAGAGAAAGGTCTAAACATCATTTAATGCAACTCAAGTTTCAGCGTGTTCCAGGAAAATCTAGAGCAAGATGTTTGCTACATTGATATTTTGACCAACAGCCCATAAGCCCAATCTATGAAACCCAACAATTTACTTCCAATCATTTTACATATTTACTCTCTTAAATACATTTTGTAAATATAATTAATACATGTTTTCAAAGAATGGGAATCTTAGGATGGGGGTGTATGCTGAGATTGGCTCCAGAGGAATAAAGACAAAGACCTATAGGTTAGAAGTCTTGGTGTCATAAGTGATTCAGACCTGAGTTGAACTGGTCACGTTAAGGCTATAACTAAATCAGTGTTTTATCATCTTCATCAAATAGCACGACTCAGAGGTCTCATGTCCAGACGAGATCTACAGGAACTCATTCATGTGTTGTTCGCCAGCAGGCTGGACTAGTGCAATGGCCTTTTGACTCGTCTTCCCTAAAAAGCTATGAAGCAACTGCAGCTTATTCATAACGCTGCTGCTAGAGTTTTAACAAGAGAACTGAGCACATCACTCCTGTTCTTAGATCTCTGCACTGGTTACCAGTAAACTACAGAATACATTTCAAAGTGTTACGACTAGTTTAGAAATCGCTCAATGTCATGGGGCCAAAATACATGTTGGATCTCCTTCCTGTATATACGCCCAGCAGGGCTCTGAGATCCTTAAGAAACAGCTGGTAGAACCCTGGGTCAGAACCAAACAGGGTGGAGCTGCTTTTAGCTGCTATGCTGCACACAGATGGAATCAGCTTCCTTGTTGCCTCAAATGAGCCCCGACTCTAGTAATTTTAAATCAAAATCGAAAACTTTCATGTATTCATCGGCCTACCAATGAATATCTTATGCTGCACCTTCTGCACTGTAACTGCTCAGCCTTTTACTTAGCCTTTTATCTGATTCTTAAATCAAAATTTATTTGATCTAAATTTATTTGTGCATTTTCATTATGCTGACATGTTGATTTAGCTGTTCTTGCTCCTGGAAAGCACACTGAACTAAATGTACTATACAAATAAAGCTGCCTTGCCTTCATTTAATACATATATGGTTAATTATGTGATCTTGTCCTCTAACAATGATGGATGAGGCTAGACAAATAAAGTTTCCTCCTTTATTTTTAATCTGTTTCATATTTTTTGTAGCTGGGATACCATTTCCTTTTCAGAAAAGAAAGTGTTAGCTATCAAAGGGTTCACTAGGCAGATCAAAATACCTTCGCCTATGAACCCACTCAAAGAGCATTTCTGCATGAACGGCTGAGGACATTCAGATAGATGACGAAAGAGAAAGTGGTCGAGGAGCACGAGATTAGAAGACCGATACGTTCAATCAGCATGTATCCTTTGTGATGTGCACATTTGATCTTTTTCAGTTTTACGTGCTTTGATGTGTATTTGATCTGATGGTTTTATAACATGGATCACAGACAAAGCCTCCCAACCCCATGAATGAGGTGGGAAAAAAAACAGAAGCAGATCAAGGCGAAGCCATTCACCTGACGCTCTAGGCACACACAACAAAAGACAAAATGTGTTTGTTGCTGTCTGACACTTTGGCACCTAAATTCATACAGGTGGTACATTTGAACAAGCCTGAATGCATGGCACGCTGACAGAAAATGAATAATTTAATGGCACCACCTTTTTCCTGAAAAATCGATGGAAAAAAAGAAATTTAGGTGAATTGCAGTCAGTTCTATTTCTAAAGCACACGCATGAGACACATACATGTATCTTATTAGTCATATACAGTATGTCTGGCATCAACTTTAAGGGTTGTAGATGCAGATCAAAACTAAATGTGTGAGACGTTTTGTATCGTTTTGGTCGTACCTTATGATGACAATTACCCCATCAAAGACGTTGTAGGGGTTCCTCAAGTAGCTGAAAGACCCGAACGCTGTGAGCTTGAGGATCATCTCCAAAGAGAACATGCTGGTGAAGACGATGTTGCAAATCTCCAGAACATTTGTCAGTTCATCAGGCTTCCATTGAAAAAGAAAACAGAAAAAAAAAGTTTTTAAAGAAAGCAATTACTAAAAAATAGAAGTCAACAATTACTGAAGCAATAGGCTAATTGAGAATAAAAGGACATTTTACCAATCTAAAACGATCCTAGATGCTTTTAATTGTGAAAATATTGTCATGCTCAGTTTCATGTGACATCTTCTGCAATCTGATAGCGTTATTGGAACTGGCCACTAGGGGGAAAGATGGTTTCTACTAGTTTTGAAGGTGTGGAACAACAAAAAGCCATTTTTTAAAATCATTATTTATGATTATAATTGCTCACCCTGAGCTTTTCGTGCAGGCTGAAGATGAAAATAGTCTCCTACACCTATCTCCTGCATTAGCTTCTGATAGAAAATAGAGACTCTAATGGGCCATTCCCATCAGTACCGGGTCGGCCCGGGCCGGGTAGCGTAGGTTGTTTACATATCTGGGTGGCCTGGTATTTTTCCGGGCCAACCAAGGCTCATTCTCAGCCCTCTTCTCGAGGGGGTCTGCTTCAGGCCGACCAGGGCCAACACACCCACTGCTGACAGCAAATTAACACCTTCCATTAGAGCAAGCCTCTGATTGGTGGCTAGAATCAGCCCACATGGGCTTAAGGCAAGGGTGTGTGGAATCAACCGGGCCAGGCTGGGGCCGACTGGGGCTACCCGGCCCGGGCCGACCTGGTACAGATGGGAATTGCCCATTAGAAAAGCTTGAAAGATCTTCGTCACCCTGTCACTTAACGTTCACAGACTCACCCATCTTGGCTCTTGACCGGGAAGGCTTTTGTTGTTTTAACATCCAGGAATCAGCAGAGAACATCTCGACTAGTAGAAGCTAACACTAGCATTAGCAACTCAACCACACAGCAGAACTCCCCCAGGCTTGTGTCATTTATGGAGATAAAACATCAACATTGCAGAGCAAACAGAGTCAGTGGTTGTCGTGCTGTTAGCCAATCAGAAGTGAGATGTCCTATTATCAGGAAGTCCTAAACCTGCCATCTGACGCTACGTTCTCCTTCAGGCAGGGGCGGCGTTAGCACCGGCTACTTGGGCTCAAGCCCCGAATGTTTTATGAAAAGCCCCGGATCTAAAACGTGGAAGTAACATGCAGTACCAAAGTCCAACAGAGAGGGCGCAGCTGGCAGTAGTTTGTATACAGCCTGCCTGAGCCTCCACCACTGAAGAAGAAGCCCTTCAGCAGCCGGCTTCTTCTACACTCTCTGCCTGAAACGCATGAGTGAAGATGGACATAAGGACGTTTTTAGACCAAAAGTACGGCGACAGAACCCCAGCTTTGATGAGACTGGTGCTGACTCAGGTTTGTGGGTCTTATTAGAAAATATTTGTTGTGCTGCTGGTTTTCCTAAAGTTAGCTTACTATCAGGTAAAGTTGTTGGAGAAAGAATGGGAATATTTACTATCATCTCACACTAAACACTAACAAATGGTAGCCTAGTATCTTATGTTGAATAGCCTGGCTATTAAGAATCAGATCAGTTATTAGTTACAAATATAATTATTAATTTAATTGAAATTCAAAATTGAAAATGTTGTCATTTCTGAGATATATTGCTAACAGATAAGCAGTCATCACCACCCTTTTGCTTTTCCGTGATGGGCCATAATGATTTATATTATTAATCTTCAGGCTTTGTGTTTTTGGACGTCATAAAATTGCAGCACTTTTTAAATGTAACTTAAATTTACTTTAGCCTTTTGAGAACCTGTTTCCTGTGCCTGCAGGTTTCCTCTTCCATTTCATTTCATGGCAGAATTTTAACTGAGACGCTAATCAAGTTCACACTTATATAACCTGAGGTAAATTGCCGGTTCTTGGTTATCAACCGATCAGCTTGTTTGCAACTTTATGCTAATTCGCACTTCGCTCGTCGACTGCTTTGGTTGGTATAGAAATGAGTTGATTGTAACCATGTTTGTAAATCCGTTCCATTTCCTCTTCGTCTCTGCTGTTTATAATTACAGAATCGAGATTTAAATCACTGACCTAAAATATCTGCCTCTGTGTCTGAAAGCTCTGTTGTATTTCACTCATTCAGCTTTGGATTTTACACTAAATGAGCTCATTGTTAATTTTGGAGTAATCTTCAAACTCACTGCCAATAAGTTCAATCTTAATAAAAGTTGCATTTTGGCAGGAACAATTTGTTGTTATTAGTTTTAGTTTTTCACCATATTGGTTTTATTTGCTTTCAGCGAGTCGCATCATTTCCAACCTGGGTCTGCCTTCTCTGCTGCCTGCTATTTGAGCCTAATATGAGGAACACAGAGACAAATTAGAGGCTGAAAATGACAAAACTGGGATTTTCACCTCATCACTATTCCAGAGGGCTCTTCTGAAAGTCAAGCAGCTAGGGTTTTGACATTTCAGTTCCCCAGAATCAATGAGGACTGTGTATTTACATGTCTTTGTGTGCACACGTGTGCTTCTGTTTGCACTACATAGTGTTTGTCAGTCCTAATCAGTGTTTAGCTGTGAGGAAAAATGGGCTAATGATGTATGCCCACCAGTGCAGTCAAACAGCAAACAGCGCCAGCTGACTCTGGAGAACCATTATGGCAAACTTCATACAAGGTCTGAATGTTTTATATGTTGATAAAGAAACAGAAGCAAGTGGAAAAAATGGGATTTGGATCTCACATTGAGAACTTGTATTCACTTGTAGGAGAGTAAACGGCGTGAGTATTAAAGAAGAAAAAAGGCATTGTGGGAAAAATAAAACCAAAGTGAGTGTGTAGAAAAAAACTTGATTTTTTTTGTTTCTTGGTAAATAACAAATATTTAAAATAGCTAATATGAAGCTGTACACAAATGTGTAACACATTAAAACCCTGGAACTGACCCATCGCCATGGCTTCTTAGACGAACGTCATGCTGTCACATACTTCTGAAGAATAATCTTGACGTTTTGCCAAAAGAATGAAACAGCAGTTTAACAGCACAGTTTGAGCTTCATTCCTCTTTGTCTAATCTCTAAAGTACATGCTGATACTTTAATTCCCAAGCAGCTGCTGAAACCTCTGAAGTGAATTTACACTTCAGTAGTTCCTTCCTTGTGAACAGAAAATAAAGTTAAATGAAAGAAGTGAATGTTTTTTTCTGTTGTACCTCATAATCTCATAAAGAAGAATCCCATCTTTATCTAATGTGACAAACAACACTTTGAAAGTAAAGAACATTTTGATAAAACTGAGTATGAAGTAAGTTTTGTATCCTCTCATTTTCAAGTTGACTCATTGTTTCCGTGACTTGTGAGTTGATCTCTCTGAGAAAAAAGCTCTCATGATGTTTTAGGAAGTAGAAGTTAGCAAGAGCAGAAAACGGCAGGATACTTATTTCCTGATATGTGGACATCTCTCCTTTGATTGGCTAACAGCAATTCAACTTTACCACTGACAAGCTTGGAGGAGTTCTGCCATGTTGTGTAGTTGCTAATGCTAACAGTTAGCTTCTTCTAACCAAGATGTGCTCGGCTCTCTCCCGGATGGTAAATCAACAACAGCCTGCCTCGTTGTGTACCAAAATGGGTGAGTACATGAATGCCAACTTTTAGTATGATGTAGATCTGACCGACTGTCTTACCTGAGCGACTACCCTCCTATTTTATTTCACCAGCTAATGCAAGAAATAGGGAAAGAAGATTATTTTCACCTTCATCTTCTATGTGAAACTCAGAGAGACCAGTAGAGTTAAAAAAAATAACAAGTGAAAACAGTTTCTCAGTAAACTGGCTTTTAAGTACTACCAAAGATTACCAAAGGCACTAGTTAGCCAACATTTAATTAACATTACAACTAATAAAATAAAATAAAAATCTCTCTATTTTTAGACTGCAAAACGATTTGTCAGCAATCATTTATAACATGGCAAAATCTCCATTTTGGGGAGGTATTTTATTTTATATATTCAAACAAACGTCGGCTGGGAGATTTAGTTGAACAATCCTAATTTCAGTTTGACGCAATTTGGACTGACTGCGATAGAGTTGTACCTCTAAGGTTCTACCTTGTAGTTCTTATATATCTTTGCTGCAGGGGTCTTAAACAGTTAAGAGGACAGGGTTGCTGCAGACAAGCTTGTTTTCATTAAACCATTAACTTCCTGATTCCAAGTGGAGTTTCTCTGGGGTGGTGTCATTAGTACAGTGATAAATGTGTAGAGGCAGTCTGGAAGCAGAGAAGTTCTTGGTGCTACCTAAAAAATGTTCAACCTTTTTCTGCATTCTAAAATACTCTCCGGCATCCTTGCCACACTTTACATGTCAGCGCAATTTTCCCAAAATGATCCAACTTGAGGATCCACAATCATCCTAACATGAATTCCTTGGACCTTATCAGGATGTATCAATGCGCTGAAAGATAATGGTGGCATGACAGAACCAGGCCTGGTGCTGTTGGAGCACCAGGCTTGGTAATAAGCTACCAACACACTCCGTTATGCTTGACGCACAATCCCGATACACCAGTACTACCAGAATACCAGTCCACCATGACCTTGACTTAAGTTCTTTCCAAAACCTTACAAAGTCAGATTTATTTTCTTGGCATCGTAGTGCGGTCTTCATCATATGTATGTATACGGTATTTCATTTCTTACCCTAATCATCCACAGAGAACACTTTCTAAATCTTGCTAGACTGACAGCTAAAGCCAAATTGTTGCAGTCACACCACACTTTGGAACCTGAAGAGCCACACGCTTTGCAGGACAGGTTTGTGTATCGCTTTGTTGTCAAGGCAGATAAAGGCTTTGACACCGGTGTTGAACTAGAGCGACAAATTTCTTGAGTTTCCTTTCCAGGCAGAGAAACACCAGACATTCCAGCTCACGATGGCTTCCCCATTAAAACAACACTCTCTCTCTCTCTCCCTCTTTCTCTCTCTCTCTTCGTCACTTTCCGTCTGTCTCTCTATTTTTAGAAGCAGCCGGGATGAGAGACGACCTACCACTGCGGCGGTGGCAGGCATGAGTGGGCGATGGTATAACAGGAGCAAAAAATATTGATAGAAAGACTAAGTTCACCAAGCTGAGTGACAATAAAAAGAAAATCACTTTTATTTCTCAGAGACGCATCAAAAGTGAATATTTTCTCATTAACATGACAAATGCTCTTCAATAACCTTGGTGCAGACATGTCCTGCAGGTTCAGGAATCATAATTTACATGAAAATCAGATGAAGATATAAGGAAAAGAGACCCTTTGAGACAATATTATGAGGTTTACTCTGCAGTGAAAAGTGGACACAGAGCGACAAGCAGATAAAATTAGAGATTGAAGAGTCAGAGTAAGAAGCATGGTTGTTGGTTCACTGTGAATAAACTGAAACCAACAAGACAGGCTGCATCTAAAACGAACTAAAAGCTCTGGACCCGCTGCAATCAATGAAGAGTTTAGTTCTGATTTGCCTCCACCTGAAAATATTGTTTGTATTGTGATGAAGTTTTGCTTTAATTTTAATATGTAAAATTCAGCAATTAATCTATATGGAGGTCTGGGAGAGCAACTGTGTGGCCTGATGCCATAAATCAAATCTTTTGTTATCATTATTGCCTGTGTCACACGTCCTCCATGTTACCCCAGGTCCCCTAGACACTCGAGTTGTAACAGCCATTTTAACGCAGTGTGAACTTTTGCTATTCCTTGCTGTGCTACAACCAGTCAGTGTGAGTTACCCAAAAGTCCCGCTCAGCTGCTCCACCAAGCCTTTCCGAGTACCTACTCCTGTTCAGGTTCTTTGTTCGTTCCTGAAAATGGCCCGTTCTGTCTGTCCAGTGAAGAGCAGACATGCACATGCCAGGGCGTTCGGGTAAAGTAACCTGGAAGTTCTGATTGTGGCAACACGTCTTTTGTGCCTACCGCTGTTCTGGAAGGTGTAAAATAGTATGATGCAGGCAATTTAAAACCAATTGAATGTACACTTGGCCTCTTTGGAGTCAATTCCTTTTCTAGAAGTGGACCTTGAGATTCTACTAGTCTAATTATTGTTCAGATGTGCCTACATCAATTAGATAGGCCGGACATTTTCTAAATATTTGTTAGATGTAGAAACTGATCCTACAGATTAAAAACCAAGCATTTCTTATTTTCTGTGTAAGAACTCTTTTTTTAATAAGAGATGTGTTAAAGACATCAGAAACAGCATGACTAATACCTGCTCATGGTGCTCGATGCCCATGCTGATAGTATTGATCAGAATGGCGATCATGATTCCTCGGTTGAAGTACTTGCTCTCTACAATGCCCCACAGCTTCATCCTTATCTTGTGCCATAGCTGCTTACATCCCGTCTTAAGACTACAGCCCCCATGGCTCATTGTACTTTTATGTCCTTTCTTGTCATTCTTTCTACTCCCAGACTTTTCATCCTCTCTGTCCGTCTCCTCCATGGTTGCCCCTTCAGCTTCATTACTGGTCATGCTGCGAACATTTCCGACACCATCTCTGAGAGCCAGTGTTGAAGCACTCTGAGGGCAGCGATCTGTGGCAGAGGTGGCAGCGAGGGCCATAGGCTCAGCTGGTGAGTTGGAATCTGGTTTATTATGATGAGCACATGGGGGACCTAACAAACAGTGTTGATGTGTTAATTTAAGTGCAAACACAAATGTAGTTTTTTATAATATTCATAGATACTTACCAGACCTCAATACTGGTCTCTCACGTCCTCCCCTTCCATTTGCCTTCCTCTCTCTCACCTCTCCTCCTCCTCTTCCTCTCCCAACACCACGAAAGCCTCGGGGTTTACCTCTCAATGTATAAAAAAAGGCAATGGTTTGTCTCTTGGCCTTACGAAGGAAGTGGCACACCAGTTGGAAGAGCTCTTCATAGCAATCTCCTGGTTCGCTAGCCAACGTTGAAGAGGACGAACACTGAGCTCGTTGCTCCTGCATCAGCTGATGCTCCCGCTGCTTAGTCTCTGAGAACTGGGTTGCAATGACCACGAGGCACAGATTGATCATGAAGAAGGAACCAACCTGAAAGGAAGAATACAGTTAAAGTTCTCATGCAATTGTTCTTTCAATGCATTCACTGTGGTCCCTAAAAGAAGGCCTTGTGAGTCGGACGCTGTTCTTTTTTGCCCATCCATCCATCCATCCATTTTCCATCCATTTTCATCCACTTATCCAGAGTCGGGTCATGGAGCAGTAGCCTAAGGCGAGAGGCCCAGACTTCTCTCTCCCCAGCCACTTGGGCCAGCTCCTCCAGAGGAATCCCAAGGTGTTCCCTGGCCAGGTGAGAGACATAGTCCCTCCACCATGTCCTGGGTCTACCTTTAGGTCTCCTCCTGGTTGGACTTGCCCGGAAAACCTCACCAGAGAGGTGTCCAGGAGGCATCCTGACCAGATGCCCGAGCCACCTCAACTGGCTCCTCTCGATGTGGAGGAGCAGCGGGTCTACTCCGAGCCCCTCCCGAATGACCGAGCTTCTCACCCTATCTCTAAGAGAGAGCCCAGCCACCCTTCAGAGCAAACTCATTTCGGCCGCTTTTTTCCGCTGTCTCGTTCTTTCGGTCACTACCCAAAGCTCATGACCATAGGTGAGGGTAGGAACGTAGATCGACCGGTAAATCGAGAGCTTCACCTTCTGACTCAGCTCTCTCTTCACCACGACAGACCGGTACAACGCCCACATCACTGCAGATGCAGCACCAATCCTCCTATCGATCTCACACTCCAGTTTTCCCTCACTCGTGAACAAGACCCCGAGATACTTAAACTCCTCCACTTGGGGCAGGACCTCATCCCTGACCCGGAGAAGGCATTCTACCCTTTTCTGAATCAAGACCATGGTCTCAGATTTAGAGGAGCTGATTCTCATCCCAGCTGCTTCACACTCGGCTGCGAACCGCTCCAGTGAAAGCCGAAGATCACGTTCTGATGAAGCCAACAGGACCACATCATCTGCAAAAAGCAGAGACCTGATCCTCAGGCCACCAAAACAGATGCCCTCCACACCTTGGCTGTGCCTATAAATCCTGTCCATTAAACTTATGAACAGAATCGGTGACAAAGGGCAGCCTTGGCGGAGTCCAACTCTCACTGGGAACGAGCCCGACTTACTGCCGGCAATGTGGACCAATCTCTAACACCGGTCATACAGGGACCTAACAGCCCGTATCAGAGGGCCTGATACCCCATACTCCCTGAGTACCCCCCACAGGGCCCACCGAGGGACGAGGTCAAACGCCTTCTCCAAATCCACAAAACACATGTAGACTGGTTGGGCAAATTCCCACGCACCCTCCAGGATCCCCCTAAGGGTATAGAGCTGATCCAGTGTTCCACGGCCAGGACAAAAACCACATTGCTCCTCCTGAATCTGAGGTTCAACAATCTGACAAACCCTCCTCTCCAGAACCCTGAATAGACCTTACCAGGAAGGCTTAGGAGTGTGATCCCCCTGTAGTTGGAACACACCCTACGGTCCCCCTTTTTAATAAGGGGACCACCACCCCGGTCTGCCAGTCTAGTGGGACTGCCCCCGATGTCCGTGCGATATTGCAGAGCCGCATCAGCCAACACAGCCCCACAACATCCAGAGCCTTAAGGAACTCCAAGCGGATCTCATCCACCCCTGGAGCCTTGCCACAGAGGAGCTTTTAAACCACCTCAGTGACCTCAGCACCAGAGATTTGATAGACCAACCCAAAGTCCCCAGACTCTGATTCCTCACAGGAAGACATTGTAGCGATATGAATATGCCATGTCTGCCCTTAACAGCTGCCCTTTGACCCAGTGACAGTGTGCATAAATTGCCACGGTCGTGTGCTTGCTTCTGGTGTTTACATTCCAGCAAAGAAGACAGAAGAAGGACGAAGAACGCTTTTCATTAGTTAATCAAAGAACTTTATTTTTAATAAAGCTAATCAAAACAGCTGTTGGTCAATAATAATCAGGTGACCGATCTGTGAAATCACAATGTTATGATTTATGTGTTTAATGAATAACAGGACTTGGGCTAACTGAGCTAGACATCCTGATCCACATAAGGTAAACACATGACACATTGTTCACTCATCCAATCAGAACTTCCTTTCTGATGCGTGGCAGAGCTCTGTGGTGTTTAGTTAATCTGTCTACTTCGATTAGCTAAGAATCATAAACAACTAAGCTAATAAAACAGAACAACGCCATTTTAATTCAGTTCCACCGCAAGTTTCAACGTAGTTCCAACGTGAGTTCAACCAGCTCTCAAGTCCATCTGATGTCCATCATCGCTAAGTGAAGTACAGACTGGCCAGCTGTATTTTCTACTTTTAAGCTGAGAACTGTCAAGCTGGAAAACTGTCATTTTATCAACAAGACGACGGTTCCTTCAGAATAAAAGCTGAACTCTATGACCCAATAAAGGGGGGTCTCTACGTGACCCTGAAACCTGCCGTTGTACCGGGAGACTATCCATAGACTGGTTTGTTGTGCTGCCGATGCTGTTTCACCAGTTCCAGCACCAAGGAGGGTCGAGGACCTGGCATCCAGATCTAACACGGGGGTCTCCGCACGGTACGTAGATCGGCATAGATTGCGTCTCATGTCTTCCTCCTGAAGTCCCTCGTTGGTCAGTTAGGGCAACAACACCTCGCACTCAGACTCGCCTCCACCAGATGGAGGTTCTGAACTGACACACACACACCAACACTTCAGCATTACACCCATCTGCATCCATCATTAGAGAGTTAGTCCTGGTGATTGTTTCAAATAATTATAAAATAAATATTCTTAAACGTCCCATCTCTCTCTCTCTTCTTGTCTCTAATTCAATACAAGGTGTTTGAATAAAATTCCCTGTGGTAAAAACAACCTTTTTGATTCTAAGGGCCCGGTCCAAAGATTAATGATCCAGCCCAGATTTGGATCAGTGATATCTCTGAACCTTAATAAAAGTGTAATAATATACCAACTATATTCCGCTACAACATGTTGGTGGGATTGAGGAGATCTTTGAAGTATTCTGCCCACCGATCCACAACATCCTGAGTAGAGGTCAGCAGTATACCGTCCCCACTATAGATAGTGTTGGTAGTGCACCCCCCCCACCCCCACCCCCACCCCGAGGCGCCAGATGGTGGACCAAAATCTCCTCGAAGCCGTATGGAAGTCTTGCTCCATGGTCTCACCGAACTCCTCCCATGCCCGGGTTTTTGCCTTGGCGACCACCCGAGCCGCGTTCCGCTTGGAATGCCGGTACCAGTAAGCTGCCTCTGGAACCCCACAGGCCAAAAATACCTGATAGGACTATTTATTCAGCTTGACAGCATCCCTAACCGCCGGTGTCCACCACGACAGGCACCGACGATCCTGCGACCACAGCTCCGGTCGGCCGCCTCAACAATGGAGGCACTGAACAGGGTCCATTCAGACTCAATGTCCCCCGCCTCCCCCGGAACATTTTGGAAGTTCTGTCGGAGGCGGGAATTGAAGCTCCTTCTGACAGGAGACTGCCAGACGTTCCCAGCAGACCCTCGCAATACATTTGGGCCTGCCTGGTTTGACTGGCAACCCCCCCCCCCCCCCCCCCCCCCCTGAGCCAAATCACCACCAGGTAGTGATCAGTTGACAGCATCACCCCTCTCTTCACCCGAGTGTCCAAGACATGCGGCCGCAGGTCAGATGAAACAACAACAAAGTCGATCATCGAGCTGTGGCCTAAGGTATCCTGGTGCCAAGAGCACATGTGGACACCTTTATGTCTGAACATGGTGTTCATTATGGACAATCCATGACTGGCACAGAAGTCCAATAACAAAACACCACTCGAATTCAGATCAGGTAGGCATTCCTCCCTACCACAGTTCTCACTGTCATTGCCCACGTGAGCATTAAAGACCCCCTGTAGAACGAGGGAGTCACCAGAAGGAGTGCTTTCCAGCACCCCCTCCAAGGTCTCCAAAAAGGTTGGGTAGTCTGAACTGTAGTTTGGTGCATGAGCACAGACCACAGTCAGAACCAGTCCCCCCACACGTAGGCGGAGGGAGGCTACCCTCTCATTCACTGGGGTAAACCTCAACGTACAGGCACCAAGATGGGGGGCAACTGGTATGCCCACCCCTGCTCGGCGCCTCTCAGTGGGAGCAACTCCAGAGTGGTAGAAAGTCCAACCCCTCTCAAGGAAACTGGTTCCAGAGCCAGAGCCATGCGTTGAGCTGAGTCCGACTATATCTAGTTGAAACCTCTCAACCTCACACACCAACTCAGGCTCCTCCCCCACCCAGAGAGGTGACATTCCATGTGCCAAGAGCCAGCTTCTGTAGCCGAGGATCAGACTGCCAAGGTCCCTGCCCTCGACTACCACCCGTCATACACTGCACCCGAACCCTTTGGCCCCTCCCACGAGTGGTGAGCCCATGGGAAGGGGGACCCACGTTTCCCTGGGCTCCATGGGTGAAAGCCCGGCCACCATGCACTCGCCAACGCACCCCACCTCCAGGCCTGGCTCCAGAGGGGTCCCCCGGTGACCCACGTCCAGGTGAGGGAACACGGTTTCCATTTATTTAATTCATCATAAGAGGTCTTTGGGCTGCTCTTTGTCTGATCCCTAACCTAGGACTTGTTTGCCATGGGTGACCCTACCAGAGGCAGAAAGCCTCAGACAACTTAGCTCCTAGGATCATTGAGACACTCAAACCCCTCCACCATGGTAAGGTGGGAGCCCATGTTTCAGGAATTAGAAGTTAGTCTGTTAGTTGTTAGAAATTGGAGTCTTACTTATAGTAGTTCTTGATATTCAGACTTCTTGCCTCTAATTGGCTAACAGGTTGGTTTGGATTCTGAGTTTGTGCCCTTATGTAGCAGACTTGTTGCAGCAAAAGCTCCTGCTAGGAAGCAGCTGCTGTGGTTTGAATATTCTGAATGACTGTATGCAAATAGTGCACTGCCCACCAAACAGTAACTCAGCATTAAATGTTGTTTTTCTACAGGCTGAAATTTTTTCTTAATCAAAAACGTCAACTGTGTTGCGGTTTAAATGTCTGATGTGC